GGGAGAGGGAGAAGCAGGCTTCCCGCGGAGCAGGGAGCCCGATGTGGGACTCGATCCCAGGATCCTGGGATCATGACCTGAGCCGAAGGCAGACGCTTAACGACTGAGCCACCTAGGCACCCGAGTGTGGTTTTCTAATAGCTAAGATAGTTGCAATCAAAGTTAAACTGAAAGAACATATTTTTATGGTTTGAGATTATATTTGTTTGGAATTTGCAATAGAACAAACTGGTTAAATTTTACTTTAGCTTAGCAAACCTCATTAATGGTGTAAATGAGATTACAGGTCAACTGTTTTCATTCATCCTTCATAGGCTCATTAGAGATTATGCTTCTGTGTTTATTAAATCTAGTTTCCTGTCAATTTCTTTTCTTAAGATGGACATATTTTCTGCAGTGCGAAGGACTGTATAGAGTTGGAAACAAGGGAGAATATTCTGTACTTTTTTAAAAAACTAAATCAGGTTGCTTTTTCCCTTAATTCATGGGAATCATTATAAGTTTATTAGCATAGTAGTTAAGAATATGAGCTCTCGAGTCAGATTACCTGGGTTTTGAATTCCATTTCTACTAGGTTTGTGAGTATAAGCAAGTTACTCTCCCTTTGCCTCATGTTCTATGTACAAAATGGATATGATGATTGTACCTGCCTCATAACATTTTTGAGAGGATCATATGTAGTAATCTTGGCCCATGGCAAGTGTTCAATAAAATTTAGTTATTGTTATTATTATTTATTACTATAGGAATATTATTGTATTGATTAAGGTTCTTGGATACTTGTAAATAAAGAAATGTTTAAGAGGGGAAATCTAATCTGTTTCAGAGATTGTTGAAGATCCCATTCGAGAGCTGACACTAGAAGAACATTTGATTGAGAGAAGGAAGAAATTACAGGAGAAGAAAATGCATATTGCAGCCTTGGCATCTGCCATATTATCAGACCCAGAAAGTAACGTAAGTAGTACTAATTTTTTTGAGCTCTTCATATTAGATATGGTGTGAATGTCTAATATTTTAAGATTCCCTTATTACCTATAAGCACATACAAAAAGGAAAAGCATTAAAATAGTGATGGAGGTAGAATAAGAGTAGACAGAACCTTAGCCTAATCCTACATCTGCACTTAATGTTTTTTGTAACCTTAGAAAAGTCGCTTAAACTTTGAGTCTTATTTTCCTCATCTCTAAATGAAGGTATTGAGGGGCGCCTGGGTGGCTCAGTCGTTTAAGTGTGTGACTCTTGATTTTAGCTTAGGTCATGACTCAGGATTGTGGCTCTAGTTCTGCGCTGGGCATGGAGCCTGCTTAAGATTCTGTCTCTCCCTCTGCCATATATTTCTTTAACAGATTAAAAAATTGAAAGAACTGCGTTCCATGCTGATGGAACAGGATCCTGATGTAGCTGTTACTGTTCGAAAGCTGGTGATAATTTCCCTGCTGGAGTTATTTAAAGACATTACTCCTTCATACAAAATACGACCCCTCACAGAAGCAGAAAAATCTACCAAGGTAATGACAGATACAATTACTATACAAAATAAGCTGAACATTTGGGAGAGCTAGAGATGGGAGAAATTGTAGGGTTTTTTTTGTTTGTTTTTATAGGACTGGGTAGAAGGCACTCACATTTTGTGCTAATTTAAGGATTTTGGTATTTTGATTTAAAAAAATGAGTGGTCTTTTTGATTTTTTCAGATACGCAAAGAAACCCAAAAGTTAAGAGAATTTGAAGAAGGCCTGGTTAGCCAATATAAATTTTATTTGGAAAATCTGGAGCAAGTGGTTAAAGGTATATTGAACATTTTTAAAATACATAACATACTTAGCTTTGTTCAGGAAGGTGAGTTCTATATTCTGTGCTCTGTGGTGAGAGTCAGTATAGCGGGTTGTCAAGAGCAGAGTCTACAGTCCGACTTCCTGGGTTCAAATCTGGGCTCTCTCCTTACTACCCATGTGGTGGGCAAATCACTTACTCTCTCTGTTTCCATTTTTCTGTTTATAAATAATAGTATTTACTTCATAGGATTGTTGTGAGAAGTAAATTAATTTATAGATAAAACCTGCTTACAACTGTGCCTGGCCTGTACAAGCCCTGTATTGATCAGCTGTTAGTATTGTTGCTCCAGGCCTTTCCCTAGTAAGTGTGTTTCTTGAATTCGTGAATGGTTGAAATTTATGCTGCTGCTTTTTATTTGGAGATGGTTAGGGGAGTTAGGGGAGAAGGATGACTTGAAATGGATGAAATTAGTGCCTTGAAAATGGACTTAGAGAGAAGTCAGTCATACTGGATGATAAACTCTTCCATCAAACCTTTATTCTTTTCTTCTTTGTTCAGAAAAGGAGGGGCAGGGGTGCCTGGGTGGCTCAGTCGTTAAGTGTCTGCCTTCGGCTCAGGTCATGATCCCAGGGTCCTGGGATCGAGCCCCACATGGGGCTACCCGCTAGGCGGGAAGCCTCCTTCTCCCTCTCCCACTCCCCCTGCTGTGTTCCCTCTCTCTCTGTGTCTCTCTCTGTCAAATAAATAAATAAAATCTGTAAAAAAAAAAAAAGGAAGGGCATATGAAAATTGGAGCATGAATGGAGAAGACATTCAGTTGCCTAGGTCAGGTGCTTTCACTTTACTCAGTAAAGGGCCTAAGGATCACCGAGTTTCTCAGTTGGAACAGGATTACCGAATCGTGTTGGCCCAGTAAGGGCAGGAAGGAGATGGTGGGGGTGGGGGGTGGGTGCCGTGGATGTTGCTTCTATGCTCTGGCCTCCCAACTGGAGCCTACTTAGGAGCATACATTCCAAGGCTGGGGAGCTTTGTGTAGACCAGCACCATCCAAGAGAAATAGAACATGAGACACATACGTCATTTGAAAAACATGTACTCACACTAAGAAAAAAAAGTAAAAAGTAATGAAATTGCTATGTATATGATTACTATTTCAACATGTAATCGACTTCAAAAAGTAGGTATCTTACATTCCTTTTTTGGTATTGAGGTCAAAATCTGATGCGTATCTCACACTTAGGGCACGTGTGCATTTGGACTAGCCACAGTCCGAGTACTCAGTTGTCACACGGGGCTGGTGGCCTCTGTATCGCACCACGCAGACGTAGGCCTTTTCTCAGCTGATGGAACCATTATGAAGTCTTTTTTTTTTTACGTTTTAAAAAATGTATGGTAAAATACAACATCGAGTCTGTCGTCGGAGCAGTTTTGCAGGCGTGCAGTTGTGCGGCGCTCAGCAAATGCCGTGTGGCGCGGCCGTCGCCGCTCTGCACCCGCAGCTCTGCATCTTCCCCGGCTGAAGTTCTGTACCGCCTGGGGCGGCCACCGTTCTCCTTTCTAATTTGAAGTGAATATGGATCTGGCTCCTCCCGGAACCTCGTATTCTATGTAGACTTACACAGTATTTGCCCTTTTGTGACCGCCTTATTTCACCTAGCGTAATGTCTTCAGGATTCTCATAGCACGTGTCAAAATTTCCTTCCTTTTTAAGGCTGAATAATAGTCCACTGTATATACGTACCACGTTTTGTTTATTCATCCATCCACTAGGAAGTCTCGTCAGCTTCAGGTAAATAGAAGATACGGTTCTTAGGATGAATACAGCGTGTTTGAGGAAAACTCATATACACGAGAAGCAAGTTTAAAACACAGGCACCGTCCTCTATACTGTTTCTCATCTCCGGTTGTGTATGATGTTGAACCTACTCTAGAAAAACCAGCATATTTTCATATTCAGGATGCTATGTTATGGTGGCAGAGTATGTATGTAGAAATTTCTAGAAAAGTACTGCAGGGTGCCTGGATGGCTCAGTCGACTTGAAGTGTCTGCCTTTGGCTCAGGTTGGGATCGAGCCCCGTGTCAGGCTCCCTACTCAGCGGGGAGCCTGCTTCTCCCTCTGCCTGCCACTCCCCCTGCTTGTGCTCTCTCTGTCGCTCCCTGTCAAATAAAATCTTTAAAGAAAAGAGGTCCTGTGAATTATCCGCTATTTTGAAGAAAACCTTAAATCTTCTGGACCTCCTGGGTAAAGATACCACAGTGAGCATTAGCAAGAAGTCAGGAGAAATAATGTTTTAGATTCTCCGGAATTTTTGGAACATGGAAGAGATCAGGGCTCAGAATCTGGAGCTTGCTCATATTCACTAGCCAATTAGTGGATGACTAGGATTTGAACCCAGGCTTCTTGAAATCTAGTGTTCTGGGGAAAGCCTGGTAGAGCCCAGGGATTCCTTAAGATATCCAGCTCTCTGTCTCCCCCTGCCCTGATTTATCCCTGAGACCCTTATCCTCTAATGATACATCTTTAAAAATGTATGGAAAGCCAAAACTCTTAACATTATGGTCAGAGTCAGAGGGTGGATGATGGCGGATAAATTTTAATGATAACGTTTGTACTTGTGTCTAAGGGTGGACACAACTCATTTAAGAATTGGCACAGTGTATTATTGCATATTCTTGTAAAAGAAAGCTAATTAGTTGAAGCTTTGATCAATGAGTAAAATAACTACGGTTATCTTTTGATTAGACTGGAAGCAAAGGAAACTGAAGAAAAGTAATGTAGTTTCCTTAAAGGCCTACAAAGGACTGGCGGAAGTGGCCGTGAGGAGCCTGTGTGAGCTGTTGGTGGCACTTCCTCATTTCAACTTTCACAACAACATCATTGTGTTGATCGTCCCTCTCATGGATGACGTGTCAAAATCGGTGGGTTGCTAAGTGATTGTTGCTGTCCTCCTGAACGCAAAATTCTAGACCTTGTGATTATTTTTTTTCTCTCTCAGAATTCTTTTGGAGCTATCATTCATTGCTAAAATAGCGTCACTTTGTTAAACACTGCCTCTTTTTTTTTTTTTTTTTTTTAATTCATGAGAGACAGAGCGAGAGAGAAAGGCAGAGGGAGAAGCAGGCTCCCAAGGAGCAGGGAGCCCGATGCGGGACTCGATCCCAGGACCCTGAGATCATGACCTGAGCCGAAGGCAGACGCTTAACCATCTGAGCCACCCAGGCGCCCTAAACACTGCCTCTTTAAGAAAATTCTTCAAACATAAGTTTAGTGTGGCGGTTCTGAGCAGGAGGTGGTTTCGCCCTCCAGGGAACATGAGACTGTGTCTGCACGCAGTTTCGATTGTCACCCCTGCAGTGGCTACTACTGGCATCTAGTGGGTAAACGCTAGGGGACCTCTAAACTTCCCACCGTGCACAGGACAGCGACCCCACAGCGAAGAATTGTCTGGCTTAAAATGCCAGTGGTGCCGAGGTTGGGAAACATCGGCTGAGTGTAACATTTGATTTTTCAGATATCTGAAATGTGTTGTGACGCAGTGAAGAAACTATTTAAACAAGATAAATTAGGCCAAGCTTCCCTTGGTGTGATTAAAGTGATTTCTGGTTTTGTGAAGGGCAGAAATTACGAGGTTAGGCCAGAGGTAAGCCTTTTCTGACTTTGCATTTTATTTGTTTTAAATTACAAAGTTAATTTTCAGTTGTTAGGAATTTTATTCTTTGTAGACGTGTATAACGTAGAAGACTCTCCAAGTGTAACTACTTCTAACAATTTAGTATGAATTCTAGAGGTTTATATAGACGTACATACTTGTTTATGTATATATACATGTGTATATATATTTTAAAGATTTTATTTATTTATTTATTTATTTGACAGAGAGTGAGAGAGGGAACACAAGCAGGGGGAGTGGGAGAGGGAGAAGCAGGCTTCCTGGGATCATGACCTGAGCCGAAGGCAGATGCTTAATGACTGAGCCACCCAGGCGCCCCTTGTTTATATATATTTTAAATTATTTATTTATTTAATACATGTGTAGATTTTAAAATAAAAATGCATTTATTCTATGGAAGCTCTTCTGGAGCTGCTTTCATTTTGTGTTGTATAGGGCTGTCTCATTCTTTTTAACGTCTGTTTCCTATTATGTGACTACAGCCCCCTACTTGATGGACAGCTGAGTTGTTTCTACAGTGATCATGAAAGAGAACATTTTGGCTATATTATTTTTTCATACTTACAGGAGTATTCTGTGAGTTAAATTTTTAAAGTTTAGATGCTGGATCCAACAGTATACACATTTATAAATTTGAGAGGTAATGCCACATTGTCCTGCAAATACATTTTATTATGTTCTCACAGTGACAGGCGTGTCTTTTCCCCACAACCTACCCGATGCTGAGTGTTTCTACCATTTAATCTTTGTTAGTCTGGTGGGCAAATCATTCTGTACATCTCATACATATTTTTTTGTTTTCACATATTTATTAGTCATTTGAATTTTTTTGCCCATTTGCATTGTTGCTAATTTTTCTCCTCAGGTATTTTGATGACTTGTAATACTTTTCTGATACTCATTTATTTCAGTAAATATCAGCTGTGTACTAGACACTCTTCTAGGTCCTGGGTATAAGGTAGTGAATAAAAGAAACAAAAGCTCTGGTGTTTGTTGAGGTTATATTACATATAAAGGATAGTAAGTTGCAAATATTTGTTTGTTGCTCTGCCATTTAATTTTGTATTGTGGTCTTTTTTGTCTTAAAGAAGTTTTACATTTTAATTGACTCTGTCATTTTTTCACCATTTATAGATGAGATTATATTTTTGTCATGCATGGAAGAACCTCTTCAGTCCCAAGTATAGATTCTCTCCTTCTAGAAGAGTGTTAATTTTTATATTTAAATAATCCATCTGACATCTTTGTGTGTGGTATAGTTGCAGATCTAATATGTATATATACTTTCTGAAATGGATAGCCAGTTATTCCAATACTCTTTTCCCTTTGCTGCTGATTTAAAATGCTGCCTTTATTTTATTTTAAATCCGTACACAGTATTTTATTTCTGAACTCTTTGTTGGGTTTTTCTTTTTTTGTATATATTTAGGTTGTACAGTGTGATTTTTTTTTTAAGGTATACAACATGATGATTTAATCAATATGTGAAATGATTACCACAGTCAAATTAATTTTTTTAAAAGATTTTATTTATTTGCGAGGAAGAGAGAGAGCGAGCAAACAAGCAGGGGGAGTGGCAGAGGGAGAGGGAGAAGCAGGCTTCCCGCTGAGCAGGGAGCCTGATGTGGGACTTAATCCCAGGACCCTGGGATCATGACCTGAGCCGAAGGCAGTCGCTTAACCAACTGAGCCACCCAGGTGCTCCACAGTCAAATTAATTAACACATCTATCACCTCTCACCTTTTTTTGTGGTGAGAATCCTAAAAACTTACTCTCAGCTTATTTCAAATTATACAATACAGTATTATTAACTCTGTTTACTATGCTATAAATTCAATCCCCAGAGCTTCTTTATCTTATAACTGAAAGTCTGTGTCCTTTGACTGACATTTCTGCATGTCCCCCATCCCCCCGTCAACCACTGTTTTAGTATGCATTTGACTTTTGTAGATTCCCCATGTAAGTGAGATTGTACAATATTGTTTTTCTGTGTCTGGCCTATTCCACTTAGCATGATGTCCTCTGGGTTCATCTCTGTGGTCATAAATGGCAGGATCCTTCTTTTTAGTGGCTGAATAGTATTCCATTATATGTATATAGCGCAGGTTCTATATTCGTTAGTGGATACATAGGCTGTTTCCATATCTTTGCTTCGTATTGTGAATAATGCTGCAATGAACATGGGAATGCAGGTATCTCTGAGGTACTGACTTCATTTCTTTTGGATCTATACCCAAAAGTGGGATTACTAGATCATATGATAATTCTCTTTTAATTTTTTGAAGAGTTTCCATGCTGTTTTCCATAGCTGTACCAGTTTGCATTCCTCCCAACAGTATACAAGGGTTTCATTATCTTCATGCCCTAATACTTGTTTTCTCTTACCTTTTTTTATTTTTATTTTTTTTAAAGGTTTTATTTATTTATCTGAGAGAGAGAATGGGAGACAGAGAGCATGAGAGGGGGAGGGTCAGAGGGAGAAGCAGACTCCCTGCTGAGCAGGGAGCCCGATGTGGGACTTGATCCCGGGACTCCAGGATCATGACCTGAGCTGAAGGCAGTCGCTTAACCAACTGAGCCACCCAGGTGCCCCTCTCTTACCTTTTTTTAAAAGTTTATTTATTTAAGTAATCTCTACACCCAGCGTGGGTCTCGAACTCATGACCCCAGGATCAAGAGTCACATGCTTCTCTCAATGAGTCATTGAGGCACCCCTATTATCTTTTTGATAATAGCCATTCTGACAGGTGTGAGGTGATTTCTCATTGTGGTTTTCGTTTGCATTTTCCTGATGATTAGTGGTGTTGAACCAACCTTTTTGTGTATCTACTGGCCATTTGTTGTATGTCTTCTTTGGAAAAATGTCTATTCACGTCTTTTGCCCGTTCTTTAAATCAGGTTATTTGCTTTTTGCTATTGAGTTGTAGGAGTTCCTCATATATTTTGGATATTAACTCTTTGTTAGATACGTGGCTTGCAAATATGTTCTCCCATTGAGTAGGTTGTCTTTTCATTTTGTTGATGGTTTTCTTTGCTGTGCAGGCTGTTTAGTTTAATGTAGTCCCACTTGTTTATTTTTGCTTTTTGTTGCCTGTGCTTTTTGATGCCTATCCAAAAAATCACTAGCTAAGGCCAGTGCTGAGGAGCTTTTCCCCTGTGTTTTCTTCTAGGAGTTTTATGGTTTCGGTTCTTACATTTAAATCTTTAATCCATTTCACGTTAATTTTTTGAGTGGTGTAAGACAGTGGTCCAGTTTCATTCTTTTGCATGTGGATATCCAGTTTTCTTAACATTATTGAAGAGACTATCCTTTCCCCACTGTGTATTATTGGTGCCCTTGCCAAAGATTAGTCGGCCATCTTTAATCTGGAGTTACGTTTTTTATTTGTGGGTGATATTTTATGAGCACATAGAATACTTACAGAATACTCATATTGATCTTTCTGGTACCTAGAATGACTTCATGTTCGCCGTTTCTTTTTTTTTTTTTTTTTT